ACCAATCAGGGCCGATTTAGTAATCAACACCCTGAATCCCAGCATTGCACCATGAACCAATCACACACTCTAGATCCAGCCACCTCTGGAAAATCCCCACCTATGACGGCATGTGGCTTTGAAGGGGCATCCGGACACAGCCATAGCACGGACTCAGGCACCTTTGGGGTCAGGCAGCTGAAGCCGGCCACCATCAAGAGCAGCCCAGCACAGAGCTCTTAGCCCAGCAGCCTGTCGTCCTTCCTGGGCCTACTGCGGCCCTCCAGCCAGAAAGCTGCAATTAAGAGTAGGCTCTCTGGGCTGGGGATGTGGCTCCGTGGCAGTTATTGCCTTGCATGCACCAGGCCCTGGGCTCGATACCCAGCACCCTGAAAGGAAGAAAGAAAAAGAGAAAGAAAGAAAAAAATAGTGGGCTCTGGAGCCAGGTGTAGTGGTACACACCTGCTATCCCAGCACCTGGGAGGCTGAGGCGGGAGGAGCTCTTTGAGTTTGAGGCCAACTTGTGCTACATAGTGAGTTCAAGGCCATCCCAAACTACGTGGTGAAATCCTGTCTCAAAAAACTGAGAGCGAACAAAAGAGATAAAATGCTGACCACATAATGTAATGCTTTTCCTTTACTGGGAGTTGAACCAGGTCTCTCACATGCTCGGCCATAGAGTCAAATCCCCTTTTTAAAAATTTATTTTGAGACAGAATCTCCCTAAATTGCCCACGCTGGCCTCAAATTTGTGGCCAGTATGTTGCCCTCCTTCCTCAGCCTCCTGAGTAGCTGGGATTACAGACATGTGCCCCCAATCCCAGCGTGATCTGAATTTTTTTTCAGTACTGGGGATGGAACCCAGGAATTTGCACTGAGCCACACCCCCAATGCTTTTTACTTTTTATTTATTTACTTAGTATTTTTTTTTGAGATAAGGTCTTACTCTGTAATTCAGGCTGGCCTTGAACTGACTCTGTAGCCCAGACTGGCCTCAAACTCACAGTGATCCTCCTGCCTCAGCCTCCCAAGTGCTGGGATTCTAAGCATGCACCACCATGCCCAGCTACCTTTTTATTTTTATTTTGAGTCAGGATCTCACTAAATCACCAAGTTGCCCAGAGTGGGTTCCCATGTGCCATCTTCCTGCCTCAGCCTCCCAGAGTGCTGGGTGTGTGCCATGCCCAGATGCAACTTGAATTTTTAAAGGCAGCCCAAACTGCAGACATTCTGCACCAGTGTTTAAGAGGGCAGTGAGTGCTCCCGAAGAATCCGCTGTCATGGCACCTGAATAACTTCTGTTCTTGCTCCAATTGCCCAGATGTGTCTAGACCCACAAGTTGGGCACTGCCAGGCCAGAGAGGCCTCAAAAATCATGGGAGAGGGGCTGGGGATTTAGCTCAGCATCACAGCACCTGCCTGGCAAGCGCAAGGTCGTGAGTTCGATTCCCAGTACCAGGAAAAAAACAAACAAACAAAAATCATGGGAGAAAACAGACTTGGCTTGTACACCCCTTGCCAGCACAAAGAGCTGGCCTAGGTGACAGGAAGGTTGTGGTCCAGGTGCCGCTGGCCTGTTCTGCTGCCTTCTTTTCCGCTGCCTCCTGCCTGCCTGCCTGCCTTCTCCCCTGTCCCTGGCTCTGTGGGAGGGAGGGAGAGAAGGGAAGAGGAAAGGGGATGGAGAAGTGGGGAGAATTGTCATAGCCCTCATCCTATTTCAGAGCTAGGCAGCCACTCACAGTTGCACACGTTGTGCACTGCACAACCAGGCCACTGGACATCCCCAAAATCTGCACAGTTCTAGCGCAACTTTCAGGCAGGTGGAATAAAATGTCCTGCCATAGAGCAGCTTTTCCTGAATCGAATGATGTCAGCCAGGTGAGATAAGGGTCTGATGGCCCAGAGTCCCACCCTAGTCCCAATCGCACAAGCCACCTCACCCCAAATCACAGGGCTACAGCTCCAGGAGATGCAGGGCCCCCAAACAGCCTGACTCTTGTCACCTCTAGCGCCATCTGGAGGACGCTGCAGGGCCTTTCAGGCCTCAGTCTCCCGACCTGGAACAGGCAGCATGGACAAGGTGACGTCCAAGGCTGTGTGTACAGAGGGGGCGGTTTACAGTGGGGCTCACCCACCCACAGAGTCCCTTTGCTCAGAAGGAAGGAGCTGGTGGAGGGTGCACTGCCCTCCCCAGATGCCCAGGGGCCTCCTCCTCTACAAAGGGCCCGGGGCCCTGGGCCCCCGGCCCAGCCCAGCCACCCCATGTCACCTGGCACCCTGACACCCCCAGGCAAACATGCCTCCACACCTGCGCCCATGCCAGCCCCTCTGGACCACACGCCCTTCCTCAGCGCCCGCCCAAGGGAGCTCAGTCCTGCGCTTTGTTTCGGTCCGGCTCAGATGTCGCCCTGCCTGTTGGCCCAGGACTCACAGGAAGGAGGAAGCCAGTGGACTGGGGCTGCCGCAGCACCTGGGACACGGCATGGTGGCACGGTGGGGGGGCAAAAGGGTTCTACGCCGAGGACACGGCAAAGCCTCCCAGGCAGTGGGCCACACGGGTGCCCCGCCTGTCCAGCCGGCCTGCAACAGCAAGCAGAGCCAGGAGGGCGTCCCCGGCGTCCCCGTCCTTCTCCAGCTCCTCCCACTCGGCCTTCGGAAGGTCAGCCAGGACCAGGACCAGGACCAGAACCAGGACCAGGGTCAGGACCCAGGGTCCTTCCTGAGCGGCTCCCTAGCCTTCCCCTCCCTCTGGGGACAAGGCTGGCCTCCTCGGCCTTGGGGCAGCCTGTGCCTGGCCACCGATGACTCAGGTCCCCTCCCAGCCTTCCCCCGCAGGAAGAGGCCCTGTCACAGTCGCAGCTGTCCACATAAAAATAGCTTGAGAGGGCTGGGGAGAGAGGCCATTTCCCAGCCGCCCCTCCTCCTCTGGATTCCGCTGCTTCGCCCATTTCTCAGCTGAAGGCTTCCCACTTCCCAGGCTATCTCTTATGCCGGGGGTGACCACACCCATTCTGCAGATGCAGGAAACCAGGCCCAGCCGGGGGTGGTGGCCCACGCCTGCAATCCCAACACTTGGGAGGCTGAGGCAGGAGGATCGTTGTGAGTTTGAGACCAGCCTGAGCTACAAAGTGAGCGCAAGGCCAGCCTGAACTGCATAGCAAGAACATGCCTCAAAAAGACAAAAGAAAGAAAGAAAGAAAGAAAGAAAGAAAGAAAGAAAGAAAGAAAGAAAGAAAGAAAGAAAGGAAACCAGGCCCAGAAGGGGAGCCACTGTGCCTAAGATCACACAGCAAGCTCCACGGTACAGCTCAGACTGGGCCCTGGCTTGGCCCACAGCACTCTTCCCCACAGCACGGACCTCCTCCTTGAAAAACATCTCAGCCACAGCCCAGGCACAAAGAAAAAGGAGAGGAGAAGAAGGCTAGAACTTGTCCAGAGGTGGGGCGCTCACCCAGCATGTGTGAGGCGCCGGGGTTTTGTTTTTGTTTTTTGGGGGTGGGGGAGTGGAGCGCACACAGAAAGACTGGGCACGGTGCACACCTGTAATCCCAGCACTTGGGAGGCTGAGGCAGGAAGATCGCTGAGAATTTCAGGCCAGCTTAACTACATAGAGAGACCCTGTCTCAAAAAAAAAAAAAAAAAAAGTATTGTGCTCGTACTGTATGGCAGGTCCTGTACCAGTCACCTGGTTACAGACAAGAAACAGGCCCCTTCCTGCCCTGGTGGAACCCACAGTTCAGCCAGTGACTGTATGCGTGGAGCGTTTTCCTTCTACACATTGCTAAGCGCGTTCACGTGGGCTGCATTTGACTCTCACCGATGTCCCCATAAGGTAGCAGAGTAGATATTTGTCACCAGCGTTGGCCAGGAGAGCCCGAGACTCCTTCCGGGAGGGGAAGTCTCTATTCTCGAGGAAGGACCCAGCCTCTGCTCCGAGACACCCGGCAAGGCCTCTGTCGGTCTCCCTCAAGGCCAGCGCCGGGCAGGTGACCAGATGCAGCCAGTCATCTTGGCCACCCCAGACTCCGAACCAGAGGGTGGCCCTCAGACCCCTCCAGCAGTCAGTCACCAAAGAGCCGCTAGGGCTTCCGGCACCAGGTGCCCTGTCCACAGCTGGGCAGCCCCTGTCTGCTCCCTGTGGCAGCTGCCGTAGTCCCTCCAGCTTGGCGAAGAGACGCTGGGCACTGCTCCTTCGCCAGGGGTCGGGACAAAGTCCTGCCTGCCTGCAGGCAGGGAGGGTGGCCTTTCTCCAGACCTTGTCACCCCAAACCTATGCCCCTCCACACCCCGTGCTCCCGCCCTCCTTCCCACGCTGCAGCCTGCTCCTCCCGGACCTGCAGACACTGTCACCCTGGAGATGGTGGTCTCTGGAGTGATGAGCTGATGGGCCCACCAGCCTTTGGTGCTGGCCAGGAGAGCCTGCGCCCTGCACCTCAGCCAGCACTGCCGGGCGCCCCTGTTCCACCGCCGCCTTGCCCTGCCCCCCGCATCTCCCTGGGAGAACCAGGACCATCCTTCCCTGTCCTGTCCACGCTTTTTCTCTCTGGTAAAATCTCAGAGCTGGATGTGGTGGCACACTCCTGTAATCCCAGCACTCGGGTGGCTGAGGCAGGAGGATCACAAGTTTGAGACCCGCCTGGGCTATGCAGGGAGACCCTGTCTCCAAAAACCAAAGCCAAGCAAACAAGGGTCAGGTGTCCTTCTGCACCACCTGAGTGGCCCTCGCTCAGTTCCGGGGATAAGCAGGTGGTCTCCATGTGTCCGTCTGGGGGCATGAACAGGAGCAGACGGGCATCAGTCATGGGGCCTTCGCTGCCATGGGGAGATGGTCTTGTCCTCTTGAGCCCCTTTCCCTGTGAATGCAGGACAGGTCTGAGGACACAGCAGGCGCCCAGGGGTGTGCACAGGTGTGTGCCTTCGTGTGCCTGAGTGCCCTGTGTGTGCACGCGGCTGTGCACCACCCGGGGGGGGGGGGAGCTGCTGTGATTGTCAGCGCAGAGTTAAGAAGCCTGCGCATGCGGTGAAGAGGCCGTGAGAGCATTTTTATAGCTGCCCCTCTCCTCCCACCCTCGGGCGGGCAGGGCAAGCAGATGCCCCCCAGCAGGGCTGAGCGGAGTCAGGAGCCCAAGGTCCTGCTGTGCTGTGCTGCCGAGTTGCTGCAGGACCCGAAGTCGTACTGCCCTGTGCCTCAGTTTCCCTCCTGTGAAGGTAACAGGGGAGATGAGACCCGATGATCTCCGTCAGCTCCCGTGGAGATGCAGAGGGGCATCTGGAGGGCTGGACAGGCTTGCCTCCCACGCGGCCATCCCGGGGGACCCTCTGCGTCAGGAGAGAGTGCGGGCGGGGCGGGGGTTCGGAGAGGCGCTGAGTGGCCGCCTCGGCTTCCTCTCCCCACCCGCTGCCTCCCACTCTGCACCTCCGAAACCAGAAGAGAAAGAGAAATCCGTTGCTCAACAGGAGAGGAGGGAGCCCCTGTCCCTTCGCGCCCCTCCTGCGCTGGGGAGCAGAGGAAGTAGGGCCAGGCCGGGTCCCCTCGCTGGGCCTTCCCTCATCTGCGAGAAAACTCACGGAGGGAGAGGCCGAGACCTGCTCAGGGCAGCGGGGTGAGAGCCAAGGCCGAGCCCGTCCTCCAGCAGGCGGCCCCACGGGGTCTCACTGAGGACGTCAGGGCAAGGGGCGCACCCACCTCCCCCTGGCCAGGCCGTGGGGGGCTCCCTGGGGCTGAAAGGAGGCCTGAGAGCCCAGCCCACGCTACTCTGCAGGGATGGGGACAGGACCCCAGGGCCGGGGGGGAAGGGGCAGCCACCCTGCCAGGCTCCCAGCGCGGCCACCGCGGTAGGAAAGGCCGTACTGCTTTACTGAAGCCCCAGGTGCCAGGGAGAGCAGGGAGGAGGCTGTGTGGCCTGAGCCCAGAACCTTTGTCCTCTCCGCTGGTTTCTCAGAATATGGGCCACAAGGGGAGTGGGTAGTTGAACAAGACAAGATCCCAAGAAAAATCAGGGGAAAACGAGTCAAATGGTGATTTCACACAGAGTGTAGCTGGGGACTAGGCTGAGTTTTAAAAGGATTCAATGTAGCCAGGGGTGGTGGTGTACACTGTAGTCCTAGCACTCTGGGAGGCTGAGGCAGGAGAATCCCGAAGTTGACATCAGCCCAAGCAACTTAGCGGGATCCTGTCTGAAAATAAAAAAATAAAACAAGACTAGAGGTGTAGCTCAGTGTGATCCTCAGTACTAAAAAAAAAAAGAGAGAGAGAGAGAAAAAAAAGATGTAAAGGAAAGTATTAAAGGGTAACATTTCAGGAGCAAAAATATGCTGTATGAATGACTGAGATTTCAGAAAGGGCACCTGGAACCCTGGGGGCAGAGGCAGAGGCAGTGCGTTCGGGCCTGGGCACAAAGACTACAAATGTGCGGCCCAAGTGTCCCCTCTGGCTGTGTAGGTGGGGTAACTGCTGGCCGGGGGCATGGGAGGGGTGCGGGGTGTGGTTCTGGGCGGAGGGAGAGGAGGCTGGATGGGCCGGGGCCCAGGGTGTGAGGCCCCCGGGCACCGGGAGCAGCTCTGGGCAGAAGCTCAGGGCTGGGTGGTGCCCCCCACACACGGAGCCCTTTCGCTCTCTGTTTCGGCTCTGGATTTCAGGCCCAGTTCCTGTTCCCCTGCCAGGCCCCATGCCGGCCTCACCCCTCGCCAGGGGCCAGGGACAGGAGGCCGAGGCAGCCAGTGCCGTGCAGCTGACCACAATCCTGGCAGCCGGCCACCTCCGGCCCAGGGGACCCAGGGAGGACGCAGAGTCCAGCTGGGGTCTGGCCCTCACCCTGCGGTCTGGGAGGTCACACACGCTCCTCGAGGCAGACACCAGAGCGGCCTCTGACACGGCTTCACAGCCACTGGAGGAGGCTCCGCCATCCAGCAGCCCCGGCCACACGTGTCCTGGGGGCCGCCCAGCAGCCTTCCGCCCTCTGGGTGGGAGGAGGTGACTCCCGAGAGAGACCGTGACCGTGGTCTGCTCAAGTCCCGGCCAGGCCAGATGCTCTGCATCCAGGATTGTATTTTTTTTTTAATTAGGTTATTTTTTCTGGTACTGGGAATCGAACTCACAACTCGCGCTTGCCAGGCAGGGGCTGTGACTCTGAGCTAAATCCCCAGCCCCTCCAGGATTGTATTTAATCCTCACCCCACCACGAGGGGCAGGTGCTATTTTCCCAACTCAACAGAGGACCAGCTGAGTCTCAGAGTGAACCATCTACCCGGGTGTGCTGGTGCACACCTGTCAGCCCAGGGCTCGGAAGGCTGAGGCAGGAGGATTGCCATGAGTTTGAGGCCAGCCTGGGCTACATATGGAGAGTTTGTCTCAAAAAACAGAACACAACCAAAAAAGTGAACCATCTTATCCAAGGCCAGTGGCAGGAGAGAATCCCCTCCTTAGACTTCTTCCGACCCCACCAAGGCCACAGTTTACCACTGGAAGAGAGAGTTGGCCCTTCAACTGGGTCCCCCAATTTTTCTTCCTCTTTGTTACTGGGCATTGAACACAGAGGCTGTGCACTGAACTACACCCCTATTTTTTGAGTCAGGTTCTTGCTAAGTTGCTCTGTTGCCCAGGGGAGGCTCAAATGTGCGACCCTCCTGCCTCAGCTTCCCAGTGCTGGGATTACAGGTGTGCGTCACTACACCACCTCCCAAAGCCCAGGGCCAAGCCGCCTTGGAGCTCCCTTGCCCCCTAAACCTTAGCGGACTGAGTTAAGGGGCACTGTGATCTCAAACCTTGTTTCCACGCCCACCACTCATCCTGCCCAAGCCAACAAGGGCACCCGTCAGTATCTCCACTGCACGGCTGAGACGCGGAAAGCATAGGCAGGGACCTCCGTGCCAGCGGCGGGCAGTGCCCCAGCCAGCACGACAGCCCCCACTCTGCTCGCCTCACCCAATCTTTCTCCAGGAGCACTTTGGTTCGTCTGCTCTTGGCAGCACTGGAAATTGAACCCGTGTGCTAAGCAAGCCCTGAACCACCAAGCCTACTTTATCAGCTCATTTTATTTGCTCTGGAGACAGGATCTCTCCCCAGCTGCCCCGGCCGGCCTTGAATTTGTGATCCTCCTGCCTCAGCCTCCCCAGTAGCTGGGATCACAGGCGTGTGCCGCCAAGCCTGGTCCCAAAGCACGTCTTAACAGCCGGAGGGAGACAGGGTGAGGAGGCTTCAAGAGAGGACAATGCTGGTGGTCGTTCCCGGGGTCCTCGTTTCCAAGTGTGTTCCTTGGGGGCTTCCCAGAGCTGCCCTTCCCATGTCCCCCGCTTCCCCTAGCCAGCGCTCAGAGGACGTTGTCTCCTTACGGGATCTGACACAAAACATACAGAGGGCTGGACTGAGTTGTTTTTCAGAGAAGTTAAACAATGTAACTGCCCGCAAGCGGGAGGGAAGAAACTGTAATAAGCTGTTAACATTCACCCTTCACTGTTCTGGGTGGAGCTGTGGATCCCTGGTGGTGGAGTTGAATTTCACTCCTTTCAGTGACATAACCAGATTGACATTCAATTTACGGGTGTGGTTAGAAAAATGTTCTTTAAATATGAGGATCTTGCCGGGTGTGGTGGCGCGTGCCTGTAATCCCAGCACTCAGGAGGCTGAGGCAGGAGGATCATTGCAAGTTTGAGACCAGCCTGGGCTACAAAGTGAGCTCAGGGCCAGCGTAAACTGCATAGCGAGACCCTGTCTCAAAAAGAAGAAAAAAAAGAAAAAATGAGAATCCTGCTGGGCGTGGCAGTGCATGCCTGTAATGCCAGTACTTGGGAGGCTGAGGCAGGAGGATCACCAATGAGCTTGAGGCCAGCCTGTACTACATAGTGAGACAGTGCCCCCGCAAAAACAAAGAATAAATACATAAAAATAAAAATGAGGGGCTGGGGATTTAGCTCAGTGGCACAGTGCCTGCCTGGCAAGCTCAAGGTCGTGAGTTCAATTCCCAGTACCAGAAAAAAAACAAAAATAAAATAAATAAGAATCCAAATCAGGGGTGGTGGCGCATACCTGTAATCCCAGTGCTCAGGAGGCTGAGGCGGGAGGATCACCATAAGTTCGAGGCCAGCCTGAACTAGTGAGACCCTGTCTGAAAAACAAACAAACAAAAATAAGTTAATACAGGCACCAGAGTCCTTTTTCCGCTGCTGAAACAGTATACCACAAACTGGGTAAAGTACTTGGCCCTTGGTGTTGGAGTCTGGGAAGGTCTAGATCAAGGAGCAGCCCTCGTGTGGTGTCATGCAGGGCAGGAGGCCTCCCATGGTGAGAGCATTCTCCTGCGCCGGAAAGAGAGTCAAGTTCCTCTCTTTCCTAACTAACCACTCCTTCGACAAGGGCCTGCACCATCCCTAGCTCTTTTTAAAAATTTTTAAAATTTGAGACAGGGTCTCACTAAGTTGCCCAGGCTGGTCTTGAACTTGCAATCCTCCTACCTCAGCCTCAAAAGTAGCTAGAATTATAAGAATGCACTACTACACCTGGAAAACTATTTTAAAAAACAGACTTTTGATGTAGTAATAGGCAGTACTTTCTTTCTTTTTTTTTTTTTGGTACCAGGAATTGAACTCAGGACCTTGCGCTTGCTAACTAGGTGCTTATACCGCTGAGCTACATCCCTGGCCCAGTAGTCTCTAACTAATGTGTGAAATATAAAGATCCTGCAAAAGGTTTGATAGTATACTGTAGCTTTGACACAGCTATGAACGTAGAGCATATTCTGAAATACCTACAAAAGCTATAATGTGATTTGAAAATCTTTATAATTCTCTTAGTGACACCATCCCAGCCCCAGCTAACACTGCTATGGTTTGTTGTTCTTATATTTATCCCCAAAGAGATGATAACAGTCGGATAGAATTTAGTA